CTCAGGTGAGACGTACCCTCTCTATTCCCAGAGGACAGTAGCATCTTTATTTGTGAAGGTGAAGGGCCTCAGAGGAAAGTCTGACCAGTGGTGCCTTGCTCAGTTTACTTCACGTTAGATCATTTCCTCTATCACATTTCTCCACAGTTGTCTATTCTTCATCAAACCTCTCATAAAAGTATCAGGTTTAACCCTTTATCTGAGTCTCCATTTCTTTATGGAGGCTCCCATTTCATCTAAAACATATATTTAATACTTGTGAATGTTTTTCTCTTGATAATCTGTCATTTATTATCTTCTGTTTGAGGGATCTCAGCCATGAACCCAAAATGGGTAGAGGAAAAGTTACATTTTCCTTTCATATAGTATGTTTCAGTGGACATGTATTTCATTTCTCTTGAGCATGTACCTGAGTGGCATTTCTGTGTATGTGTACATTTAGCTCAGAGGACACTACCAAGCAATTGATCAAGGTGATTATTCCAGTCTCTAATCTATTCAAATCTATATTCCAGTCTATATTTCAGCCATGTATAGAGTTCTGCTTGTTTCACTGCCCTACAAACCCTTGGTATTTTCCATCTACTCCATTGTTATTTTCCTAGTGAACTTATGGTGGTATCTCAATGTGCTTTTAGTTTTAATTTGTGTTTATTCTCTCTCTTATGAATTAAGTATCTATTTATTCACTTGTTTTTTTATTTATTTTTTGTACCAGAGATTGAACCCAGAGGCACTTAACCATTGAGCTTTTTAGTTTTTAATTTTTTATTTTGAGACAGGGTCTCACAAAGTTGCTTAGTACCTCACTAAGTTGCTGAGACTGGCTTTGAACTTGTGATCCTTTCTTAGATTCTAAGTGTCTCTTAATCCAAATAAGGTCCATGCTTTTTTATTTAACCTTCCAATTTATTTGCTGAGAATATTCTTATCTTGTGGAGTTTCAATTCTGGATTTTGCTGATTGATTCTGTATTGAGTTGTTATATCCCTCTGTCTCCTTCTGTTTTACCTAAATTGATATGTAGGTTTAAGACTTTTTTAGACTCAAGTGTTTGCACAGGGGACCTCAGATATAGGGGTGTGTATTCTTGTAGGATTGCATCAGGAGCCACACTGTGTCTCTCCTGTGTATTGAGATTGGTTATAGGGTTCAGGAGTGGGCAGCTTCATCCATCCAGTATATAATTTTTCATCTTCCTTTCATATAAAGGTTCCCCCTGGTCTCTGATGATCGTTACCTTGATCTGAATTTCATTAAATTTTGTGAAAATGATGATGTTCTAATTCTGATTTCTTCTGCATACATTTTCTGGAATCTTCTATAAAAATTTTTTCCCTCATCAAATATTCGGTTCCACTGGGGTATGGGATGAAGAGGAATGATAGGATGAGTTCTTTGTTTTTGTAGTATTTCCACTTTTCAAAACAATGAGTTGCGCAATCAGGGAGAATGCAAATCAAAACTACACTGAAATTTCATTTCACCCCAGTCAAAATAGCAATGATGAACAACAGAAATACTGATAATTGTTGGTGATAATTTGGGGGAAATGGTAGACTACTATGCCGCAGTCTGGCTGGGCACAATCAGAAGCCACTTGTCAAAAGAA